GCAGCGCCAGCACTGGCCGCAACCGCGCTTCCCCCGTGGTAGCCCAGCAGGCCGTTCCCGTCCCTACGTGCGCTTGTGTTGGGTGGATAAATGTCACGGCGAGGTAGAGACTTTTAACTGTAAAAGCCATAAAATCTGAATATGGTCTGTCGATAGACAAGTGGCTGTTTTCATGTACACTGTAAGTCACAACTGCATAGTTCCATGCTCTGGCTGCATTTTAAAAGTCACAAGTTTGCGTTGTGTGGGTTTTTTTCTTCCTGTCCCTGTCAAATGCACAGTCCTTTTCTCCGTTTCCATAACCCCTCGGGGCGGTGTCCTGTCGTGGGGAGTCACATGCACCTTCTGAACATTCCTTAAAGGATGGAGGGAGAAACAAACCTCAGAGGCCCTGCTGTCTTATAATTCCTGTCATAACCATGCTCTAACTTAAAAGTAATTCAATTTTTGCCTTATTATTATTTTATTGCCTTATTATTTTATTGTTATTCCCCTCCTCTCTGGTCTGATTACTAGAAATTTTCTTCTGATTTCCAGCTTACACATATTCAGGGCCAGTTTGTACCCATGGCCAAATTCTGTTACTGCGTCAGTCAGTTCCCTAAGTCATTAACATTTCTGGAAAAACACACCTGCCTGAGAGAAAGTACGTATCCTATTTTTTGGCCTGGTTGAAGGAAGTTACCAATTAGAGACCAGACAGTTATATAGAACTGTGAGATTTTGGAGAAAGGCACTCCCTTTCTGGTTGAGGGCTGATAGCAGATCCTGGCACGCATCAGGGCAGCTCTGCAAGACGTGGAGCCAGCGCCTTCTTGGAATGGGCCCTGCAGGAGGGGAGTCATGCGTGGTAAACTGGCCTTGGGTGGAGATTGCTTACTGTTGTTCTCTGTAATGATGTCCAAAAATAAACAATATTAGTCTTTGTCTGAGCTCCCTTGCCACTTTACAATGTGGCCATTGTCCTGAGCATGTAATCCCAAGTTATCCTTCCTCAGGTGGCTAAAGAGGTGCCATCCCTGGCCCTTTCACCCACCTCGTAATTCCCCCAGCACGGTTACCAGCACAATTGTTTTGGGGCCAGACGATGAACCAGATCCCTGAAATGGGCCAGAATTAAAAAAAAATACATATTGGAGGGGGTTGGGAAATATTTGTATGTGCCACTGAGACTGCTTTTATGATCACAACTTGCACAGGCGTCCATGTGACAACTGAGAGGGCAGAGAACAGTGTGGGAATCAGAATGAGAGTGGAGACTGGGAACCTGTCAAGCCAGCCTTGCTGCCCAGGGAAGCGCTCCCAGCCGTGTTCCAGTTCAGCCATTCTTCATGTTTTTGTTCTCCTCTCCAGGTGATTTAACTCAGCCTGTGCTTCACCGGTTTCACCACTTGTACCAGCACAAGTGTGCAAGGACACACAGACATGAACAACTAGCCAGGCAGGAGCCAACAAAACAACTGCTCGCAAGGCTCTGACTTAAAATGTTGGGCTTTGCATTGGGGGATTGAGGAATGGACTCATGCTCCATTCTGCTGCCCCTCCTGCAGGGACAGAAACTTCTAGCACTGAGGAAGGGTAGTAAGCTGGAGAGATATAACACCCTAAACCAACACACCAAGGTTTGCCAGCTTCCCTTTTACCGTATAACTACAACCAGATTTTTCTGAAGTGTTGTCACATCAAGAACCAAGTCATGCGTTGTCAAGATGAACCTCTGTTGAGCAGAGCCTTTTGTAACAGCCTGTTACGTTCCATTTCTTTATTATGACAGCCAAGGCTGTATTCCCTCTGTAGTCTTGTTCATTTAATGAGGACAGAGAGTCTTTAAGAAGTTACCTATTAACGTGAAGTATTTCCTTTTCATATCGTTATCCCTGAAGTCATACAGCACTTTCAAAGCTGATGGTTTAAAACATACTATCTGCTATACAATTCAAGCTAACTTACACCATTTTTACTCGGATTTCTAGGGCGGGGCGGGGGTTTACTATATATGTCACTGCTTAAATCAGTTAGAACAACAAAATCCAGAATGTGTAGGTGAGAGTGTCGCATTAAAAGTTTCTGAACACAGTTGCCACAATATAAAATGAAAAGGAAACATGATTATTTGCTGGTACAGTGTCACATACCCAGGCATTTGTCTTGCCAGTAATTTGAAATTTAACAGCTTTCCAGCACATGAGCCTGCAATCTTGCTGGGAGCGTAAGACCTCAGCAAGAAAGCTAGAAAGTTGTGTACAAACTTTGGATCAGCATCTGGAGATAGAGAATAAGTGTTGAATTGCTGTATGATTAGGAGTAACAAATAAGTGCAGGAACACAACAGAGGACTGTAGGAGAACCAGAGAGAAAGCAAGGAAGCGTACGAGGATATTAAACACAGATTCACAAATATTGCTGCCCACAGATGGGTAGGAGAGCCATCAGTTACAGTCCAGGTTCTTCACAGAAGAACTTCTTTGGGTAGTTCTGTTGCTGTGTAGGGACTATAAACCCACTTTGGATAATTATATAGAGATGTCCTTAGCATGATTTTCTGTCTGATTAATTAAAGCTGTTTCATTGTCTGGCTCCATGGGTTATGGAGTTTTTCGTTGCGTGGTATCCTGTTTTTAGGTAACAATAGTAACGTTAATACTGATTTTGCACAACTCCTTGAAATGAAGTATTTAGACCAGCAGGTAACTGTACCTTTTGTTAGTTTCACCAAATGTTTACATTCCTTATTATACAGTTCCCTTAACTTCCTTTTCAAGCATCTTTTTCTCTTAGAATAAAACCTTACCTTCACAGGATAATGGACTTGGTAATGCACTTGGGAGATAGTTACTGTGAAACAGAGAACACTTTGCAGAGGAAAAGGAACAAGAGACACTTTCTATTGATCTCCTTTTTGGAGCGTTTTGGTTGATAAATAGTTAAATTTTAACTTGCCTAGAAAAAACAGATACCAATTTCATATTCAAATCCTTAGTCTATTTCTGCAAGGCGTGGGAGGGCCTGGAACAGGCAAAGCGGGAGCACAAATCTGAAACTCCCACATCTCAAGTGAGACTATTTCAGAGTGATTATCTCACTTGTTCTTACTAGAAATTCCATCTGGAAGCTGAGAAGTCTTTCCCAGTGAAACTTTCCAAAAAAGTTTCTTTTTTTCTCACTCAAAGAAACTTTAAGTAAAAACGCTAACCAGTTGTAATGGAGGATTTGATTACATCTGCTTAAGTTAATGGACAAGTTCCTGTTGTTGCAGTCTGGCTTCAGACCAGGCCTTTGATGCTTCTTTCTTAAAGCAAAAGCAGAAAAAGAAAGAAAAGCAGGTAAGTTATTATTCTGATGACAGAATAGCGACATAATTGTCATCAATAGTTAATTAGAATATACACGTGAAGAAAAATATAAATGAGTTTGCAACAATCTTGTCATTAAGAATGCCAGTTTTAAGGATGGCAGCTCATCGCTGAAGTCCATTTTCTGCCTCAGCGTGTTACTGAAAAGCGTTAGTGGGACTCCCTGAATTGAATTCCATCTTGAAGGTTTGGAGCCTTATGGAAATACCGCATTCACACACTTTCTGAGTAGTTCCCTCATTGGTTTCTTTCCATAGTTGTATCTGCCTTTCCCCAAAAGACCTTTATAGACAAAAGAGAAAAATGTAAATCCTACCACACCATATCAAAGTGGTTTTTCATTTAAAAAAAGAAATACACTTGCAAGTTATTACTGCTCTTACAGACTGGTGGGGGGTGACAGCGACAGATGCAGACACAAAAACCAGTTCTCAGGACTTTTATTTCCTGAGGAACAAAAGCTAAAAGTAGCGGATAATCCGCACGAGCTCCGGAGAATGAAACACCGGTTTGTGAAATACGGGGGCAATCCGTCCGGCGGGAAGGCCGCCCTGCCGGCAC